AGCCAGACGGGTGGGCACAGGGAAGCGCGTTCTGGTTTTATAGCGATAGGAAGCACGGAAGGGCTGAGGGAGAAACGGGGGACGAGACGAGATATCTGCAGGAGTCTGAGAGAAGTCAAGGATACCATGTAGATCACACAGGAATCATACCATTTTTTAGTTTCAGGCCTCATGCAGGAATTTGAGTGGGGACGCTGATCGATCTGGCAGCACATCTGCACGAGAGCATTCGCCAGTGGCGGGACGGTGGCAAGATAGACAGGCAGTGTTGTGCGCTGTCGAGATCTGTGGACCATCGGCCGAGCGTGACCTCGATGCGTTGTTCCGACTGGGCATCCCCAGGGGACAGTGATACCACAAGGCCGGCCGTAAGAGCTTCTGTGTAATTACGGTGTCCGCAGATGCGGTGCTCGAAGGAACAGTAAATCAGTCTTTTAACTATTTAGCTTGTCCATGACCGCCGTTGGTCCGGGAAACAGAACTGACCTGAGCATGAATTGCAGAGAAATGAGGGAGGTTTGTGTGGCATTCACCCCATTCTCTCTTCCCGGTTCCATCCTCGTGCGACGAGCAAATTACACTTAGAAGACAGCTGATGAGAGAGAGTAGTTTTGCTATCTCATAAACTGTTGACTGAAATTCTAAAATGTGCCTTCAAATACTAAAGATTACCCAAGTATGGTCGTGAGTCTAATTGTCGCGCATCAGAATTACAAGGTATTTTAGTCGCGTCAGTATTTCGGCTTCTGATTGATCTTTTTTCCGACCACTTGCAAAAAAGAACGCCCGCTTTAGAATGACAACACAAGTAGTATGGCTTTTTCACATTGATTTTCGATGCCCTTATATATCCAAAGATGTTTTATAAAAGAAGGCGCGATGTTATTTTTCTGTACTTGTTTGGTAGCAGACTTCATCTTCTTCACATTTTATAGTTAAAGATAACGCATAGTTTGGTTTAAAAAATAATTTTGACCCTTATCTGCCATTGCACTGGTATTAAGAGTTTCCGAATTACGATCCCTATACTTTCCAGTAAGAATACCTGCAATTTTTTATACGCTATTAGGAACATGCTACACGGGGTTCGCAAAATTTTGCAGTGGATGTGGACCATGTGCCATTTTTAGTAGGAAGGAAGTTTGCTCTAATTCAAAATTCTGATTTGCATGCCTATGCGGCCTTATGAACCAAAAAGCAACAATAATACCTGCAGGCTATTCCTTGAATTTGCTAAAACTCCATAAGTTGGCCTACTTTAATCGGCCATTCTGGCTTTTGAGATATGGCAAGCTACTTTTAAGCAATCCAGCTTCTGTTATTACGTAATTTGAAGCCAAAGAGGCGAGTATTAGCAGTTTGAGCGACATTTTAATACTGATATGAACACCTTGTGCAACAGGATTTAGGATAGAATGAAACCCAAAGGTTGCGAAATAACAAAAAGAGCTCCAGTATAACGAGAAAGGTGTGTTTTTTGTCTGCGACAGAAACGTTTTCGGCATCTGTCAGAGAAGTATATTAATAGGGTCAAACGATCTAATTTTCCCTGACTTTATATTTAAAAAATTGGAGTACGTGATATATCGTTGGCAAAATACCCTAAGGAGGCACTATCTAAGGAGCTTACTTACTAGGAAAGTTTTTCAGGCAAGCAGGGGCGTATACCATACGGGCCTTTATTGCGGGCGTTTTTTTTTCTTCAGCGATTAAGTTTCATTATTCGGTGAGTCTACGAATATGACCAAAATCGCCCTGTGAATTGAAAAGGACAAACGATAATTCGCTACCTAGAACAATCCTGTTTTAAAGGCCCCGACTGAAAACACCGGAAACACAGACGGATCCACGGACATCTCAGGGAAAGGCTGAAATGTTAAAAACTTTACCGTCACTCGAAATCACATAGTTACTTTAGTGATGTGTTCTCTTGATATACGAAAATGATATTCTTGCGATTACGTCCATTGAACTTTATTCCAATCCCATAGTCAGTAATACTTTTTTATATGTGGCCTCATTAAAGCCTTTATTTATGCGACTTCGCTCTCGGAGGAATCAAATGAAATTCTATTTTCCATAATTGGTTGCTTTTTAAACAATTTAAAAACGGAAAAATACCCCGAATTCCGGAGTCACCATTTAATTGAGCGTCGAGAGTTTGCGTAACTTCATATTACAGCACACCCTTATTCATAGAGGATGTTGAAGTGAAAACGGTGAAGGACAGCACTTTCCAAACATTGTTTAAATCTACGCTATAATACGTATTTTTGTACTTCTGTGTTTACTGCTATTTTTAAGTGAAGCGTTAATTCTAGTCGACGCAATACTGCTTTAAGTATTCTTTTTATGCTTTCATTTAACTTTTATTCATTGTCAACAGGGAGATTTCATAGATGAATTTTGTACGCGATTTCCTATCAACTGGGGAGTTGGTATTAATTTAACATATTACCTGGCTTAGGCAACCCAAAGTGCCACCCGAGCAACGCCACTGCGGTCGATGAGGTCAGGCGGCATGTCACGGCGTGCGAAGCAAATTTAATGGCCTTCCCTACTCCGTAGGACTGTAAGTCCACTTACGCAATCATCTCGACTTTCCAACGGCGCCGTAATGATTTCAGCTTACGTTTGTGCGTTCCGAGGTCAACAGCAGACATCCATATTGGCCGATATATTTATCATATACGAAGTAGACCGAAGTGGATCTCAGGGTGCACTGCATAAGAATCTTTAATAGACCTACATTCTGGACAGAAGCAAATGGAGGGTAGTAACGGCGAGCCAATGTGCCATGTAATTCTCAGCCAACGACGAAATTGAATTTATGCACTCACCGTACTCTGAGGCGTATCCACATTAAACTGACGTCAAGAGGAAAAACAGCACTAAGCAACACTGTGCCAAAACTACGGCAGTTAATGACTCATTTGGTAGCAAATTACGTCTTCTTCAAATTTGTACCCAAAAGAATGGTGTTATTCGGCTTTAGAGGACTTCTGCAATGCACCAATAATTTTGAACCCTACCTGCCGTTACACCAACATTCGGGGTTCGCAAACTATGAGCTGTGTACGGAAAATAATGTATTTATCTACGGTATTAAGAGAAGACCATATGATTTTCATAAACTTCAGCGGTGGGCTTTGACCAAATCGTAATCTTTACAAGCCAGATTAGCAAATGCAGTGACACAATGCTTTATACATAGTCATTTTGCGGTCTTTAAAACCGCATTAAAAATATTTTGTGTGTTTTTTGTGAACAATATTTGAATTTATAAGGGCATCTAAAATCAATGAGAAAAATTCACATCACTGGTGCAGCATTTGCAGGCGGCCGAAAAAAAGTTTACCCAAAAGCCAGCATCCTGTAGTAACAGACGTATTGTTGGATTATGCTGCATGATGGTTAATATTACAACATCACTTACGTAAACTTTTCGAGTCGGAAACGCATTTTAGTATTTCGGTTAACGTTTCATGCTTTAGCATATCTACTGTATGTGATAGCGTGACAGTTGCATCATATAAAATTCGCATCGCTTGTGCATCCAGCATACTTTATCAACGATTGTCTCTGATGCTGTATTCGATCGCGAATATTAATGGTACAACAAGAGAGCACTAAATCCAACGATCGAGCTCTATTCTTTTGAAGAACCTAAAGTGGGTAGGCTAACTCATGAAATGTCGACAGAAATTTCAAAATGCGGTCTCGTTTCGAAAAGATTAATTAAGTAGGGTTGTAAAAGTAATCATCATGCAGCATAATTCTGTAATGATCCGGTTACCTTAGGGTGTCCTCTTTCGAATGAACTTATTTTCGACTGCATCAAGAAGCATACTCTGCAATAATTGGCTACTTAATTAGCATGCACTTTTTTCATTGATTTTCGATGCTCTTAAAAATTCAGTTATATTGCATGGAAAACAGGCACAAAAATATTTATTCTTTTGCTCATTCGGAAAAAAATGACGTCGTCTTCCAATTTAATTCTCGGAAGAAGTGTAACAGCAGGTCGGGTTCAAAATTGTTTGGGAATTAGGAAAGTATTTTAAATCCGAATCATACCGTTCTTTCGAGGAATAAATGGGAAGATGACGTGACTTTCTACCGAATGAACATAAGAATGAATGTTTTCATGCAGGATTTCCATGGATCAAAATTACATTTTAATGACATCGAAAATCAGTGAGAAGATTGCATGCTAATTAAGTAGCCAATTTTCGCAGAATGTGCTTCTTGGTGCAGTCAAAAATAAGTTCATTCGAAAGACGACACCCTGAGGTAACTGGATCAGTATAGAACTATGCTGCAGGATGGTTAGTTTAATAACCCTACTTAATTAATCTTTTCGAAACGAGAACGCATTTCGGAATTTCTGTTGAGACTTTATTAGTTAACCCACCTACTGTACGTCATGTTGCATTGGACAGTGCGCAGTTCGTTTTCGCTTAATTTCGTTACTTTCCAAGACCGACCTGAAAAGAAAGTTTTTAAAGCCAGAAGCACAATGGAGCATTGGCTTATACACATGAATTCGATATCCGGCATCTTGTATAGTCTAAAGTACACTTCTCATTAGATGATTGACGGTGCGAGGACAGGAGTTAACAATAGAGAAAGCAGACGAGGAACAACACAACAGCCATTCTCCCTGCCTCGCATGCAAATGGCGATCAGGCAAAAATGCGCTCAGGAAGAAGACATGATAGTCAACTAAGCGCTGTCCGGACAGCACGGCTCGGCAACAGAGAAAAAGAGAAAAACGATTGCTTGAGAGCCCATCGGAAGTACCCCAGATGGAGGAGAGTGGGTACTCGGCTGAAGTCCGAGCCGTGCCGCCCAGACGCTCCTTAAAATATCGATATTGACTAATTATAACAGTGTGTAGGAGGAGAAGAGGGGGAGAGGAAGGAGGAGGAGAAGTGTCACTGGTGAGTGTGGCAAGCTGGGGTGGGATGTGGGGGCAGAGGAGGAACCGGTGAGAACTCCTAGTACTGTTGGTGGTAGGGGTCGTCCTCGTTGAGGGAGCGGTTTGTCGCACGATACGTCTCGGTCTGATAGGCCGCCGCCGCTGCCGCCGCCGCTGGTGACGGCCTTTGTTTGTAGCCTACACTGTAGCCATCACGAGTATTGCCGCTGGACGCTGCTACAAAACCAGTTGCCTCATCCCCTCCGTATCCGTAGCCCGGTTTGGCGATGTCGTCGGGCACCTCATTGGGGGCGTCCCATCGTTTGGGCGTCTCGCCCTCTACCTCAGCCCAACGCTGCTTTTCTCCGGACGCGAAGATGGCGTAGAAGGCCACACCAAAGAAATGGACACAGCTGGCAATGAGGAACACGTGGGACCAGGCCTTTTTGGTCTAGACGCAGAAGAAGAAGCATCACACTGTGAGTGAATACGCACGACATAAAAAGCGGCCTGTCTTCGCAAGCATGTCCAAACAATGGGAGTTTTTGGATTCCTGATTAGGGTCATGCAGACGTAGATTGGTCTGTGATGTTAAGAAGAGGCTTTCGGTCTGGGCTCCTTAGCTGCGTTGATTAAAGCCGTGCCCTTTCTTTCAGAGGTTCGAATCTGCTCACCGCCATCGAGTTTTGTCCAACTGGGTCAGTTAAATTGGACGATGATCCATATAGCGCGGCCCTCCCACGCATGCGCACACCCGTCGTGGCCGACGAACACGACTGAGATTTGTTCATGTACTACGTGCACTTAGAAGAAGGACATGTGCGATTAATGTCCTCAACCATGCCACCTAGCGATACATCTAAAAAGTTAAACAACTTAGGCGCGGCGACCTAGCCAAAGGCAACACATAAGAGAGATGCCCCTCTGATTTGTTACCACGGCCTACCCTCACAAATCGGTCAACAGGCACATTCATCAGTGCTCGAGGATCCCAGATTGCAGTGAAGCTTACAACGACTGTTTAGATAATGTGGATTTTTTGATTGGTTTTCTATGTTCTTGGAGAGCGAAGCAGAACTCTCATTGTGTCCAAAATACTCAAATCACTAAGTGTCCGCTGAATTAGTCCTCCCAATGTGCTGAATAAGTCCGACCCCAAACTGTGCACCAGGCTGTGTTGAAGCATTGGTTTGTTTTATGAACGTTCTAATGGTATAAGCGAAACGTGGCCAATTTTCTCTGTCATACCGGCAGATTATGATATTTGTCAGCATTTAATCGCGGCTGATTTTGGGATTTCGACTGTGAAGGGCTTGCGTGTCAGCATTACTACAGCTGCTTCTTGGCGCACATTTAGGAAAAGCAGTTTGCCTGATAAAAAAAAGAATAAGATAGAAACGACCCGTATACGTACAGAATGACGACCGTATTCTTCCGATGCCTTAAACGCGTCAGCATTCATCTCTCAGGACATTTACAGGTAATTTTTTAGCCAAAAGCTTCCCGTTTAGAAAGGTACTTTCTTCCGGCACAAAAACTGTAAATGAGTAAGCCTATTAAACAGTGAAAAACATTTTGCCTGAACAAGACGCGTGGGGAACCTCACCATGCGCAGGACACGTATTAGTATTGTCAAGAATACCTTGAGATGCAGCGGTAACGGTGCCTTAACAATTCGGATGAACTAGATCCAGCACTTTGGTGGTTAGCCGCTACGCATGCGACTTTCGAACACCTTTTTACTGATGCCAATCTCCACACATCTGGTCACCACTGAACTTATAATTTTTCTCGCAAACAGAAAACGTCATATGTGGAATACCGGATCTTTCATCTGGCAGAAAGGGGAAATTCTATATTGAATAATTTTTTTAAACATTGCACGTCAAGTCCAACGCTTTACTATTGAGCCGGAGGGGAGTCTGTTGTTACAGGTTATCCAAGCCTGGGTCTTCGTGCGATCGGCCGATGACGAATAATAGACCTGAAATGGTCAAGCCCGTCCTCGTTATATCTGATGGTACTTATTCTTATGTCATCACCGGTCGTTCAAGACTGCCATCGAGGGGTTTAGATTGAGCCGCAAAGCACTACGGGGAAAGCATGTCCTCTTTCCTGATCGCTGTTATTTATTGAATAACTTCTTTTAGCAATAGGCAGTTGACAGTCTTGTCTTTTTCTGATATAAGAGACTGGCAACGGTAAAGAGAAGGACCACACTTAACTAGCAGTAGACTGTGGATCGTGCCATACGTGATTTATGGTAAAGGGAGTTTTATGGGTGGGGTAGCACATTAGACAGTGAGTTGACAAAATGGAAGAAAACACAGAAACTGCCTGGATTTAGGCTGTAAGCCTTATCCTAGGCTATTGTTTGACAACAGAAATAAGAGTAGTAATTAATCGAAATTTAAAAAGTAAATTTCACAATAAAACGTATTTTGAGTTAAGGTGTGAGGTCAGGGGAAGTAATCGTTGTTGGCAGTGTGATTTCTTCAACAGCCTGCAAATGTATGCCAACATGTAACCCCATATGACACGATCCACAGTCTACTGACAGTTAAGTGGGGTCCTTTCCTATACCGTTGCCAAGAGACTCACTGCTAAACGTAAGACCACTTTATACTCTCTTTGTCGGCGTCCCCGGGCTCGTTTTTCATGCGCTGTGGACAAGCTGTAGGCAGTATCCGATGTTCCTCGGCAATTAAAAAGTAAAGTATCAACTGAAATAATTTCGGTCGATTCACAGGGAATAAGTGAGTGCTACCGGCACTAGTTGCGGATAGTTGCATAACAATGCCCAGCTTATTTGCCGTCATTACCCAGGCATTCGGTAGTCACAAGTTGGGAAAGCCTAACATTTGGCCTTTGTTATTTGATCATTGAACGTGTGAGTTAAGTGTCCCTCACCTCGACTTTCAGCTGTGGTCGGGAATATCGTGAGGCAAATGCTCTGTCTGATAATATGCTACTTAGTACTGTTGCAAACGTCAGTAGCTTGAATAAACACATCCAGCACATGGGAAGAAAATTTAGCCACTTATTTGGGCATCAGAAAGATGGCACTTTGAAAAGATTGCAGACACGTGTGGAGGTGTGTTCTTTGATCAGGCAGGAGAGCATACTTGCCTCGTTGCACTCAAAGACAGCCGCAAAGCGACTAGCATTGATGCAGGAAGGAGTGTCAAAAAAGACAAGGGGGGGAGCGGTGGTGGTTTCTGACTTATTTGCTGTCGTCAGCCAGTCATTCGAGGTTATCCGCATGGTGGTCATACGGCAGAGGAGTACTCGATTAACAAAGTCCTAAACAATACTGGAGTACGTGTTGGACCTGATTGTACAGGCCAATTAACCGACGCGACTGTGTCCATGAACTACAAATCGAAACTGGTCCCCTAAATGCAGATTTGTTGCACGGGAGAAGATAGGTTGCCAAAAGACCCAGAACTTACCGGTTTTTCTGTAATCAGCTCCGCGGTCAGAGGGCAGATCAAACCGGATATTGTGCCGATTCCGTTGGAGAGGCCCATCAGGATGCTTGCATACCGCGGAGCGATGTCCAGATGATTCACATTGTAGCCTAAAAGGCGAACGAATCGAGTACTAGTTTAAAGACTCAGAGTCATCAATGCCAGCTGTAAGTATGCGCAGATGATCAGAAGAAAAAGGAAGTGGAGAGGTCTGAGGGGTATCTGATCGGACAGCCACTCTTATGACGTTACGACTGACGTCTTACGCAAGATCTAATCACTTCGACTGTACCAATTGAGCGGCGACAAACAACTAAGGCATTTAAAGAGACAAATAAACATTAAGAAAAGGGCGACCACTCCGAAATGTAAAGCAAGTCCCTTCTACTCTTTTGAAGAATTGACAAGGACAGTAGGCAATAAGGTTAGTTGCTGGAGACGTCAGTCGTTTAATTCACTTCCTTTAATAGTCACCGGTCACCAAAAACTCGACTGCATACTCCTCCGTCGTGACGTCGTAACGATAGAATCTGTGTGGACTGCAAGCTTTTTCAAAGATATGCCCTAACATGGATAATTACAAGAGGAAAACAGAACAGTTGAATTTCAGTGTCTAAAGGTTTCATATCTCAACCTACCAGTGACTACACGATTGCCGAAGACTTCTGTTAAGGCTGCTTGTTTGACAGATTAAACTTACTAACAACAGTGTATTTTGGATCACCAGAAGGTAGCTAAAAGGCTGTTATACCCAAATCTCTTTCTAAAATCTGCCTGTCCGGATAGACAATTATAAAAGTCAGAATTGTCTTGAAACGAGATTTTCCACGGCCTCTAGGCAGACGTAGAAATTTTAGGCAAATTTATAAAAACGTACAAGCTGTGTGCTATGAAGGCTTTGTGAGTAAAAAGCGTTCATAGGTGTTTCTGTTAATAAACCCTTTGGTTAGTTTAAACTGTCCCCTGAAGGCATGCATGAGCTTGTGTACGACAGTTCGACCATCCCTCTCGGCGATGTCCATCGTGCGCACCACAGCAAAGTGACGGCTGGCACGGTGACTTGTGCGTGAATTAGTTTATAGTTGTAGTAGACTTGCGCAGCATCTGTCGCACTCTCTTTCCTTCCCTCCCACCTGAGCCCGGTGTCAAGACAGAGTCAAGAAGATCGGAGGCAGGGAAGGGTGCAGGTGGCTGGCACGGTTGAGCCCGCACCGTGACGCTCCACTCCACAGCCCGTGGTTTACACGTGACCACTTTTTTGACCAACAACCACATTGGTGGTGCGACAAGGTCCCAGTGTGCGCGACGACTGTTGGCAACCGGGTCTGCCGACGTACCCCGACATGTTAGCATTTTTTATGGAGAGCAAATCCGATAACGCCTGCCGGAATTCGAAATGGCCCCCATGTTGGTCCAACGCATATACCACGTGGTCCGTTTGGGGGAGCATGTATAGTGAGTACCCCGCCCCCCATAACGGACTGCACCGAACATGCGCTGGATTAAGATGAGGGCCAGATTGGCTCACGGCTAGGCTGATCGGACTACACAGAGCGTGCTCGCGCACATAATTACTGTCATGCATTATGGTATGTGATGGCACACTCTGACGTGACTTTTCGCGTTGCCACCGCAACTCCGCCCAATTTCAGGTATGTCACCTACGGACACTATGAAGTTGTCGTCAGTCTTTCGGACACCGTTTTAAAATATGAAAGAAGGGCTGACTGCATTGACGTATGCCAAAGGAGAGATAAGACTGCAATGAAGCCTACAAACTATAACAAAAGCGTGGTTTATGGCAAGGTTTGTTTGACGAGCAACCAAGTCCGGAGTATGCGGAAGGCGGTCGAACTGTCATGTCTCCTATAGTCCGCTAGGCTGATTCCTGCCCATTAACTTGGTTGTCAAGCGTTGTCACATGGTGTACCGCGCGTTGATATGTTGGTCGATTAGGCGACAACTTCCGCAACCATGCACGTGCGATCAACCAGTTGTCAATGCCTGACTTATCAGTAACACTCGCTTAGCATAATGAAATGACAGGTAGAAGTAACAGAATATGAAATAGAGACAGCATATTGATCTGTTTAATCGGTAATCAGTTAAAGGCGCGCCCGTCTATGTAAAAAGAAATGAGCAAAGGAAGGTTTTGAGCTACCGAGCATTTTATATAACATCGTTGACGTAAGTATAAAATTTCTCTCTCCTCGATAATTCGGGAGCTATGTCCGTCTCAGAACTGGTGGCTTCATTCCCAGCTGATTGACTGGATACCACGTTTACCAGATCTTGCCAGAGTTCTGAGTACCTTTTGTCCAAAAATTTTCCACTGGATCCTCTTCAAAATTACTAATTTCTTCTTTAGTTCTGCTGCAGTTGTCGACTTTGTGGTGCCCATGCCGTGATGCACAGCAGATACAGTAGTTGGGCGAACTCATTAAATGTGAACCAAAATTCCGAAATGCGTTTCAGTTTCTAGAAGATTAATTAAGTAGGGTTGTAAAAATAATCATCGTGCATCATTATTCTATTACAATTCAGATACCTCAGGATGCCGGTTTTTAAATAACCTTCTTTCTGCTGCATGCAAAAACCATACTCCGTGAAAACTGACAACTTAATTAGCATGCATTTTTGTCATTGATTTTCAGTGCCCTTCAAAATTCAATTAGATTTTATGGAAAACATGCATTCGCTCATTCGGTAGAAAACTACGTCTTCTGCCAATTTTATGCTCAAATGAATGATTCAATTTGGTTTTAGAAAACGTTTCTAATTCCCGAATAATTTTGGGCCCCCTCTGCCGTTACACTTGCATTCAGAGTTTGCAAACTATAAGCCGTCTATTTTCTGCGTACGGAAACCCACACATTTATCCACGGTATTAAGAGGAGATCATATGGATGTAATAAAATGAAGCAGTGGATTTGAACCACATTGTTATTTTACAAGCCACATTGGTAAATGCAAAGACTTGACGTTTTATGAACGTCCATTGCACGGTATTAGTAAATCCCACCATTGAAAGCTTTTCAAAAACCGAATCAAACACTTCTTTTGAGTAAACAATTGGAAGAAGGCGTCATTTTTTACCGAATGAGCAAAAGAAGGAATATCTGTATGCATGTTTTCCATGAAATATAATTTAATCTTTAAGGGCATCGGAAATCAATGAAAAAAATGCATACTACATAAGCAATAATTTTAACGAAGTATGGTTTTTAGATGCAGCCAGAAAGAAGTTCGTTCAAAAGCCGGCGTCCTAGGACAACTGAATTATTATAAAATTATGCTGCATGATGCTTGGTTTCACAACCTTACTAAATTAATCTTTTAGAAACGGGAACGCATTTCGGAATTTCTGTGGAGATTTCATGAGTTAGCCAACCTACTTTAAGTGCATAATTTGTCTTTTCTCGATATTTCGGGAGCTATGTTCGTTTCAGAACTGTTGGCATCGTTCCCGGCTAATTGACGATTGACTGAATAGAACCTTTACAAGACCTTGCCAGAGTCCCGAGTACATTTTGTCTAAAACATTTCCAGTCGGATCCTCTCGAAAATTATTATTTTCTCTTTAGTCCTGCTGCAGTTGTCGACTGTGTGGTGCTGATGACGTGATACGCTGCAGATACGCCGGACCAGCAGGGGGGTCAGACAACATCACGGAACGTGTCTATCGGGCCGCGCCGAGTTAGGTCGTGCCGGAATGTGATGGCACGCCCTAAGCTTGCACAGTCGGCTTATGCCCCTCAGAGGAACTTCATACTCACAGCACAACAGTGCATTCTCATTAAAATAAATCTGACTTTCTTGAATTTATCCCGAAACGCCAAGAATAGCAGCTTGGAGGACTTTAAACTTGCGGGGTAACTCGGTAGTTCTCAGAACTGAGAGTCAGGCTGAATGGCTCCTTATAGATGCGGCTTTTATGGCATCTTCGCATATGCGAAATCTGAGGCGCCCTTATCGTATCTCATAAGCACAGCTAGAAAAAGATCGTGTGTGGTCCGCGTAGACGGAATTTTTCACTCTGTCAGATAGTATGCTCATGCTCACCGCCATCTAGCTTGACAGCCTGTGTCATAAAAGAAAGGTACATGAAGAAAGAGAGAGTGAGATGGGTGCGGCGAGCGTCCGTCTCTTTATAAACTAAGACACGCGCACGCCACCGGCAGAGCATCCAATCCGTGGGGTATCTGGAGTGTGTCACTGCTCAAGATTACCAAACTGTCAGTGTTGTGCCCCCATTTCGGCATTTTAAGACAATTTCACTGCTGCGCCAGGCGTCGAAAGCCGGCTGCTGCGTCATTTTGGTGGAAACAGCTGTCCCCTGTCGATCAATGTTACAACATGTGGTACACCACGTGAAGGGGTTTGGCAGAATACATAGTAGACAGTTACTTATTCGGAACCAGAAGACGAGGTGGCGAGCATACGTAGCTTTCAATAAATTCTCGTCAGGCCAGTACAATTACAGTGAGTGACCTATCTCATGAAATGTTGGCTGAAATTCTGAAATGCGTTTTCGATTAGGAAGGATTACTTGGTCGCGGTTGTAATACTTCTTATCTTGTGGCATACTCTTATAACATTTTTGACTCGACAGGATGTCGGCTTTTAAATGCACTTCTTTTCAATCTCCTGTAGAAACAATGCTTGGTAAAAAATGGCTACTTAAGTAGCATGCATTTTTCCCATTGATTTTCGATGGTCTTGCAAATTCAAAGATATTTTATAGAAACCGCGAACAAAAATATGCTTTCTTTTAGTCAATCAACAGATAATCACGTCTTTTTTTATAATTTATACTTAAGGAAGGAGTATTATTAGGCTTTAACAAATTTTTCAGAATTTCAGCCAACATTTCATGAGGTAGGTCACTCACTGTATATGGGAACGAGGTAGAAGAAAAACATGTCAGCGAGAAGAGAAATCGATAAAAGTTATCCTTAAAACACTGGGGGATGTGGGGATGTGAGGGAAGGGGGGGATAATAGCAGTTAGTGTCAGGGACGGGGTGAGAGCGGAAGTGCGCGTGGGGAGATGCACCGTTAGTCGACCTTCAACCACTGTAGGCGCGGAGCCTGAACGTGGTTCTGCTGGGCGCATAAGATTGGCTTCCTTAACCTGATGGCGGCCGCTTCTGCTGTCGCTAATAGGCGCTGGCGTAGTAGCTTAGAGTAGCTCGATTGGACCTTATAAATTACACGAAAAGCTTCGTTGGGGTCCACTAGATGTCCGAAATCGACAACATGAGCGAGAATGGCGCTGTTTATGCTCTTCGTTTCGCCTTTTTCTAGCCATGCGGGAGGTATTCCCGTATTCTCTTGGATAAGCACCGGCTCGTGCGACCAATATAACCTGCTCCACAGGAGCAAGTGAAGGAATAGATGCACATTGAGTGCGTGTGCAGTGGCAACTTATCCTTTCCTTCTTCGCGTAAAATAGGGTTATTAGAAAATTATATGCGAACCCTTGTAGTCATTTGTTACAAAGTGTTGTTTTTGCATGCGGCCAGATGGAAGTTCTTTCGAAAGCCGGGATCCTGAGGTAACTGAATTATTATAGAATTATAATGCAGAATAATTAGTTGTACAAACCTGCTTAATTTATCTTTCCGAAACGAAAACTCATTTCGGAATTTCAGTTGAAAGTTCATGATTTAGCCCACCTGCTGTACAGCAACTCCACGTTTGCTGTCCTAAGGCGCTCTGTGTTTTATTCATGAAGGAACACTTTAGTGGGTCTGTTTCATGATCATATTTTCCATGTTCCCGTCGAAACTGACTCCGCAATCGGAACCACGGGTTAATACGCTGGCCAGGGAATTCCGAACACGCTCATCCTCTATTTTCACTTGTAGGCATTCCATTTGGATCTTTCAGTGTTCCATCTTTTTCTATGATAAATTCAATTGACAAAAGATCTGCATTTTTCAGTCGCATATCGCAGAGCTGCCGGTTGCGGCAGCTGGCCATAAATAGACCACGTCTCACGACGGGACGCTAATACGCGCAGACTGCGCAGTTGCTTTTTAATATTTTATGAAAGTCCTTGGAGGTGGGGAAGGAGCAAGACCAGGAGTTAAACGCTAAAATTCCCACCTGAAATGGCGAATCCACTGAAGGACACGGCGAAAATAAGAGCGATCATCGCGGTGTGTGCGGAGTCTGCGTAGCCAACAACTAGCAGGAGAATCGCCTCCATTCCGAAGCCTGGAAGTCATTAAAAACATTTGGGATGCCCAAATAGAATAAAGCGAATGGAGAGGGAGCCCTGATGTGCACAGGGCTACCACTAACATGACCACAACCACTCGAAAGAGATAGACATCTACTACTATTACCACTAGCACTACTGATGGAGGATATTACAAATACTTCCAGTAATGCTGATGCTGCCACTGTCACCACGAAAATAACAACTACTGCCAATAGAAACGAAGAGGCGAGTCCCAAGAAACGGTCTCCAAAATGGAGGCGCGATTGCAGGGGCAAAAGCTTTGTTAGCCTGACGTTTCGAATTCCTGCTCGAACCCATCATCAGACGCGTATCTGCTATTGTCTCTAATGAAACGTTTGGAGTCGTTTATCGGATCTTGTGCAGTTGCGGATAACAAACTACCTCAGAGAAACCGGAAGACATCTACGAAGGCGGATGACCGAACATGTTGCAGCGGTGCGGAGAAATGACGTCAACTCTCAAGCTGTGGCTCATTCGACGAGATCCCGCCGCACATTCCAATTCGACGAGACGAAAATTCTCATAAGGGCTACAACCGTGTGAGCCCGGAGCCGCTTGAGTCATGGTTTACTAGTCCCCAGTTCATAAACAAATGCAATGACCTTCCCCTTTCTTACTCAGTGCTGAGACTTCGCCTGGGCGGAGTAATTAGCCAAACAGGAAGCGCGCAGGTGAACACTTTTCCCAACATCCGGGTCAGCGTGTCAGATGGTCGAGCAATCATCACACCAACATCCAACGCACGTGATGGAATTGCAGCAATTAACAACTCGAATGTCGACCCTCAAGCAGTCAGCACACAAAGTGCAACGATTCCTCATGAAGGGGGGAGGGGGGGGGAGCCGTGAATATTCATAGGTGTGCGGTAGCATGGCAACCGCATTCGATAAATACTGCAGCCCCTTGCGCATGAACTAACCATATCTGCTTTTGTCTCTGATGATGGATTCGAGCAGGAATCCGAAACGTCAGGCTAATAAAGCTCTTGTCACAGCGATCGTGTCTCCTTCTTCATAACAACTACCACCAATATTTATACTGCTGCCACAACAAGCACATCTGCCTAAACTGCGACGTCACTTCTTTTACTGGCAGTACAGTAAGTACTACTACCACAAGTAATACTTCCACGACCACATCAACTATTGATACTATTGTTTTTGCTACTGCAACAAGGTTTGGAAGCGTTTGCTATGTCACGATCAGCGAACCCGGACCCTTGCAAACTGATACATACCGGCAGTTCTCTGGTACTCATTTCTCTGGTAGTTGATGCTCTTGTGCTCCTGCTGGGGGTATACAGGTCTTGTGCATGGCTGCCCAGTAACCCACTTCTTTTCTGGTGCTGTTCTTGTTGTTGTTGTTTTTATTGGTCAAAATCCTGGTTAAGCGTTTGTTGTGGAGCGGTGGGGTGAGATGGCAAGCCTGGGTGCGGGTTCGACCGCACCATCCACGTGTGCTCTACCCGTCTCCGGCCTTCTTGACTCTGCCTTGACGCCGGGTCCAGGTGAGAAAGGAGAAGAGAGTACGGTAGATGCTTTGCAGGTCTATCCTTATTATCAGCTAGTTCGCGCGCGAGCGTACCGTGCCTCCTTCACCTCGCTGTCGAGCAGCGGTAGGCATTGTCGGATGCGGCGGTCAAACTATCCCCTCAACAAATAGTATTGCCACCACTATTATCATCATTAGCTTTGTTGATACCACTGCCGCCCCGACTGCCAGTGTTGTTAAAACCACCACTACCGCCACCACTAATATTGCTTAAAGACTTCTATTGAAAACAAGGGAGGAATTAATGACGGAAGCAAGACGGGGCTGTTTTGCTGATGCGGCAGAGTCACAGTAGTGCCAGTAGGCACTTGATCTACGTTCTGATACAAACCTACAGTCATTAAGTATAAGGAAACAGCAGGGTACGGTTTCTTACCACCGCAGTTGAAGATTTTGCGGACAGCAGTCGTAGTGAGTGTCCTTTTACGTAGTCTGTCTGCCATCTGACCGCTGATTGGCACAATGATGGCCATAAAGAGATGAGGTAAGGAGGAGAGGATGCCGGACTAAAAAAAAGACATTTTTCCATAAAGGATTCGGATTTCAAATTGACAAAAACCATGCCTGAAGCCCTAGTATCTTTTTAGGACTGAATATTTGGCCGGTTTATCTACTGTTAGTCAGCAGGTCAGGGATTAGCGATATTTTAGATACGCTTGTTTAAAAAATAGCAAATTATAAGTGATGATTAAGCTGCGTACTTCCTCAATAAAGTATTCGAAGGCGGTTTGTGGGGATCCTCATCGGCAGCCCATTAACTTTGTAAGCAGGGTACGATCTAAATTATATCCCCTAGTATTGTTACTGCAAAGAAAATTGAAAAAGTATTTAGTCGTTCAAGCACTTATTTATAGACCTCAGTCGGGTGTCGACACACACACACACTTTGATATTGTACCTTCTAAAGTCCATAAAACATGCAGAGTAGCATGCAAGTAAACAGAGCGGTGGGTCTTACGAAACACCGGTGACATGACTATGAGGATAAGAAGAAAGAGGTGGGGAGAGGAGATGGACCTATCTCTTTCGATGATAGCATAGACTGGTAATGAAATGAAAACATTCCTCAGTGAAGGATTTTACTAAAATTCAGTTTTTACGTAATCCACTATTCGGCAAATGATGCAGTTGCTAAACATAGCAGCGTAGTAGCAAATGCATTCTAGTAATCTTTTTTCTCTTGCACACTAATTTAAAATTCTGTTTTAACTCACCGCCTATCCTGAACTATGCTGGATCGGCGAATAGGTTCCGTTATTTTTTATATGAAAAGTGTACTGTTCGAGTGACATATATGTTTTGAATCTCCCCAAAGTTATAAAAAATCTAGCGATTTCTTAGTAAAAGTCGCAAAAAAGACTTTTTCCGGTCCCTAGGACGCTGTGTCGTCTAAGTCAATTAACAAGATACACTGTTACACGCAGAGAAAGTGTCTGGGCCCAAACTCTTTGCGAGCTCCATCCGGAAGATTTCGAAAGCCAATTCGAATACTAGTCCTTGCGAAAAGTAAAAAGCAGACCTAGAACTAGAAACCAATAGATAAGACCATTGAGATTTCCAGCGATGTCCTCATAAATTCAAGGCTGTTTATGGAAAGCGAACCCAAAATATTCTTTTCTGCACTTATTTGGTAGAAATTCACTTGTTTAAACCCTTTTTCCAAAGAAAAGGTATATTGAGTTTTCAATTTTTTTAAATTCTCGAATACTTTCGGGCCCGAATTGTAGTTACTTCCGCGTTCAGGCGTCTAATCGACATGCTTTTTGCTTGCCGGATAAAGAAATTCATACTTCTCTATGCCATCTAGAAGATGGCATGCAGGGCTCATCAGATTTTGTAATGAATTCACAGGGAGCATTAATATAGGACATAGACGGTGTTGTCTGGATAAGCATTTCAGGTCTTAAAAGATTTTATAATTTGCAGCTTTTTAAAACATGAAAGATGCCCATTTGGTGGGTAAAGAGTATAAAGGAAATGTGGCTCAACACTGAATGAGCACAAGGAGGAATATTTTGTGCATCTCTTTTGTAAATTGGATTTAGATTTATAAGGGCGGCAAAACTAAAAGAAAAGATGCGTTCAGACTAAGTATACGTCTTCTTGTGAAGAGTAAAAAGCCGACCTGGAACCAGAAACCAGTAAATAAGAACGCTATAATACCCATCGACGTCCTTATAAATTCAAATATATCTGATGGAAAACATAAACAGGATATTTTTCCTTGTACTTGTTTAGTTGAGTAAGTTGTACTTGAGTAGTTAATGAGTAAATTTCGTTCTCGAAGAAGGGACAGATTGGAGTATCACATAAGTCCATTTTAATTTCCGAATGACTTGGAGTCCAATCTGTTGTTGCATATGAGTATAGGATTTTAATTTAAATGTTGTTGGCTTGTCAGATGAGAAAAATTACTTTTTCCTATGCCATTAAAAAGACGTTATATAGAGCTCATTAAATTTTAAGTTGAATTTGGACTACGTTCTATAGTACGTAGGGGGCATTAATATATGACATAGACGAAGCTGTGGGGATGGATATTACAGGTCTTAAAATAATTTGTAATTATTCGCTTTTAAAAGCCCAAAAGATGTCCGTTCTTCGGGTATGGGAAACATCAACCAAGATTCCGAGATGCGTTTCGTTTTGAGAAGATTAATTAAGTAGGGTCGCAGAGCAAATTACCTTGCAGCATACTTTTATAATAATCAAGTTATCTCAGAATGCCGGTTTTTAAACGGACTTCTTCCGGGCTGCATATGAAAACTACGTTCTATAAGAATAACTACTTATGTAACGTGCATTTTCTAATTGGTTGTCAGTGCCCTTAAAATTTCAATTCAATTTCATGGAAAATATGCATACAAATGTTCATTTTTTTGCTCACTCGGTAGAAAATGACGTCGTTTTCTAAGTTTATACTCAAAGAAAGGGAATGATTTGGTTTTTAAAACGTTTTCAGTCGTGGTATTTTTTTATACCGTAAAATGGCCGTCCATAAAACGTCATGTCACTGGATTTACCAATGTGGCTTGTAAATTTAATAATATGACCCAAATTCACTGCTAAATTTTATAAACCCCATATCGTCTCCCCTTAATACCGTAGAGAAATGTGTGGTTTTCCATACACAGAAAGTATACGGCGTGTAGTTTGGAAACCCTGAATGCAAGCACAACGGCAGGTCGGTTTGAAAATTGATCGGGAATTAGAAACGTTTCTAAAAGCCGAATTAAACCATTCATTTGAGTAAAAAATGAAAGAAAACCTCATTTTCTACCAAGTGAGCAAACAAATGAGTAGCTTTATAAATGTTTTCTATGAAAATTAATTGAATTTTTAAGGGCATCAAAAATTAATGAAAAATGCATGTCATATAAGTAGCCATTTTTGCAGAGCATAGTTCTCTCATGCAGCCCAGAAGACGTTCGTTCAAAATCCGGCATCGTGAGATAAATTAATCATTATGCAATTATGGTGCATGATGAATAGTTTTACGACACTACTTAATTAATCGTTTTGAAATGAAACGCATTTCGGAATTTTGATCGACATATCATGAGTTAACCAACTTAATGTATAAGGGCGGCATAAATAAAAACAAAAGATGCCTGTTGACTAAGTAGACGTCTTTCAACGGACGAGTTTTGTAGGAAAACGAGGGGAAGTTTGTTCAAAGACCAACGTACCGACCTATCTGAATTATCTGTCGATTATATCCCATGACAGTCAATATTAAAAATCACTTGAGTAGTCCTCCCTTATCGAAAACCTAATCAGAAATTTGACTAAGGTTTCATGAGATTGGTATATCTTGCGATATGTACTCCACTATTCGAATTTTAAATCTTCAATTTTCTCGAAAATTACTGCACAAACCTGAAACATTGATGTAAAAATCACTGGTAGAGGCAAGCATCAGACACCTTGGCCAATATCCTTGCCGTCAAATCGTTGAATCATTCAGAATTTCTGCCTTGTTGACTGTCCATTAGCAGTTTGCGAATATAACGTTGTTATCCCGAAAGCGATAGTTGCGACTTGGCGCATTAAATCATGAGGCAATTAAAAAGCTAATGTTTGAAAACACGGAGGACCCTGCGATCCACGGATGAACCTAAAACCCTCGTAGCTGCGTCATGCGCCGGCAGAAAATCAGCAAACCACCTTGAACTAGAACCTGTGCAGTCAGTCTGGTGGACCATTCAACATCTAAACACGAAAAAAGCTGGCCTACCATTCAAAATTAACAGATAATGGTCCAACTATGATTGCTAATATTCATACCGAGCCTGAAGGGGTTTGTTCGGGGCGATTTTCCTGCGGCCTGGTGTATCAGTTTATGAAACAATTAAAGAGCTAAATTTCGAAACCTTGGAGAATCCTGCGGGCACCTGATGAACCGGGGCTCCTTGCAGGTGAGTCATGTACCAATTAAAAAAACAGCGAATCGCGTGTCTTGACTTTAATTTAGTACCTGTGCAGTCAGTACGGTGTAACTATTCAACATTTATACTCGGAGGGGAATGGCATACAGTATAGATAGACGAATGAGACCTGCGATTTTTGGGGTCCATCCCAAAACTATCCAAATCAGGGACACTAATGGTCGAAGGATTCGACTTTGGAAGGAAATAAAAGCGATGGTTTGCATAAAGCCTATATGCATTCGAAATTTTCGATCCTCAACCGCGGACTCACTATCAAGGCTATATGTCCGTCCGCTCATGCGTATTGCAGTTTATTCGGACTTGTATCAGCTATCGTACTGTATGAGCTCTAAAGAACATAGGAAGTTTCTCACAAACATCCCACAACTTTCCGGTATATTTAGTAGGTTTAAACGTAAGAAATTGTGGGCCTTATGCAATGCTGTATTTTAAAGAACCCATTTTGCGAGATAAAGACGTGTGGCATTTCACGGAAGGACTCTTCTGATGGGGAGAAGAACCCCTTCAGTTGATCTTCGATAGGCTATTAGCTTTCCTGGACCAGCTGGTTTGGTCCAAATGTTTTCACACTTTTGACTAGAGTGGAGAGATCCTTAAGAGACTCGCTAAGTTCAGTGTGCAAATAATATTGTTTTCTCCTATCTCCAGCTCTGTACAGCAAGGTTGGATCTGTTACTGGGGACAGTGCCTATTCGTCCGGTGCATACCCCGGCTCAATAACAAAGCAAACCCCGAGGATTTGAGCTGTTGTCCGTCACCTCAGGGTTCGTACCCTCTAGACTACGTTTGGGAAACTAGCCCGACAGCGGAGGGAACCAATCTGACCTGGCTGTAGGTTCAAGACGATTGATTTCCAATTTACGCCTTGTAACTATTGTTTTAGTGCAGGCAGGACAGGAGATAAAAGGCAGTTTCTTCCGCGTAGAACGGCTCTTTTTTGCACATAACTGCTCTGGTAACCAGACATACCTGGGCGGTGGTGTAGTTGAAAACGTCCTTCAGATACGTCGGTGACATCATTATGAGGAGAAAGAAGGACCAACTCCTGGCAATGTTTGCAATAATGATAGCGTAGACTGGCATCGAAGTGAAAATTGCCTTCCAGGGAATGCTTTGCTAAAAGTTAGAAAAGGCAGCGTTACTTGGCGGATGTGTTTTACAGTACTGTGCAGGTTTTCTTTTAAGACATCTGTTATGCAATGGAAATTGATATGAATGAGGAACTAGAACGCATTTAACAGTACCCCTGGCTTGCCGTAGTAGGCGTGTGTCAAACCTGGGGACGCTCACTTTCTCAACTAAGCGGGTTGTCACTGACAGTCGAGGCCCCGAGGATATAAAAACACCCATAAACTTACACCAGCTTATAGCAACAAAAATAGTACAGACTGGGATGGCCATTTCTGCTCTATTAACTGTCGTTAGCCAGCCAGTCAGCCAACCAAACCAAAACTCTGACTTGGATAACCTGAGGTTCGCATTCGGATCCTTTGCCTACTTAGCGCTTCTAAGTTACGTGTTTTGTTACCGGGCCATGAAGGCGTTATCCTGTTGGTTTCGATCGGCAATATGCGTTGTCATGGGAGGCAGAGGTTTGTTGAGCAGGTGGTAAAGGCACTAGATTGAAGCTCAAGACCCAGCGGCACTAGCGGGTCCCGCTAGTTGATCGCCGAAACGCCCTTCCCACTAGTATTAGTATTTCCCGACAAAAGTGACAGGCAAACGGACCCCAAGCTCACTAATTATGCGTTGAACGAAAAACGCTTAACGGCCACAAAAGCCACTTTCGGATTCTAGGCGTGGCGGCCAGGCGGCAGCCAGTAAGCCAGAATTGGCCAATTTAGACTCCCTTGTCTTTATTGATACTTCTTCTGTATAATATGGACAACATTGGAGTTAGTCAACTGATTTTCCAAGTGATACCGGTTACCATTTTGCTTAACGATGGAACGTTGCGCATTAGTATGTCAATTAAAATCTCATTCGGTCGACACCAAAATATCCTTCCTCAATTTTATCTCAAATCTACATTCACTCTGTGGAAGTAATAAACATGGACTCAGACGATGATTTAATTAGGCAGAGGAAGAGGGAGATAAGTGCTTCAAATTCTAATGTCCGTGCGTTGGGAGATGGAGGTGAGAGCGCGCAGGAATTTGCAATAATTACGAGATGAGCATTACGCGATGATATTGTCTTTAATCAGCTCTGAGCTCACACATAATCTCAACGTTAACTTGTCCAATTGAATCCGACGTGGGGGGGCGTTATGCGGAAAGACAACCTAGCCTGGTTAATTACCCGAAGTGTCCTAAACTCCCAGACCTTTTAAACTTGAAATGATACAGTCACCAAAACAGGTCTGGAAGGAGAAAGTTCTGAAAGTTCAGTGCAATTTTCCGATTTATTTCCTTATGAAATTAGGAATGAAAATAGTTTTGCTATGGCGAAAGAAGAGGCTGTGAAAACCTCACGGTTGGGGGTACCCGGTATCCACCTAGTCACATTTAATGACTTAAAATACTGCATTGGCAGACTTGTTACCTGTTTTCAGTCACTGCGCAACCTCTGCCGACTACCTGACACATTATTCTAAATGACTGTTTGCATTCTACAGAAACTTCCAGTCCAGCAAAGGAGTTATCAAACTAACAAATGCACACATCCCATGGGCCATAAAAACGATATTAGTTATTAACATGACAAACGAGCGTGTGTTTCTTGCAGCTCAGAAAATACAGATCGTTAGACGTAAATGTGGGCGTGGGAAGTCAGCCATTCCCTTCCGCCCGACGGCGCACGTTTTCCAACTGAATGATTTGCGCACTACCGAAGACTTCAGAAAAAAAAAACTGTTTCTAGACCCCGGGCAGTACGGTCTGTCAGAAGTGTTTCCTGTGTTCTTTGCTATCTTGTTGCAAAGTTGGTAAGGATAGGGTGAAGGCTCCCAAGCATCTGTGGCATACAAAGAATACCTTCTATACTTATTTAAGAGGGCTTTATTCCGACACGATTATTTCGGTTTGGTGTTTAATTATACCAGGTTGGGTCGTCTGCTGTAGACGGTCTGGTGAATTATCTACAATGAACTCAGCTCACCTGGCGTTCCTTGCGCCACCATCATATTTATCTGCGAATGTCTCTCATAATGAATTCGAGTGAGAATCTAAAACGTCAGGCCAATTCATTTCGTGCTCCAGACATCGCATCTTCGTCTTCTGAACTGCTACCTGGGACTCGCCTGTTCGCTTCTGTGAAGCTATCGTTGTAGACACTCAATATTTATTTTTAACTATCTCGCTTAATTTTGTTTGCTATACGTCAATGCCTTAAACCTTTTCCACTCGAAAAACAAATTTATTAACTATCTATACTTATTTTGCCATTCGTCTATGTATACATTGGCCCCGCCGTAAAACCCTGATTGACATCTTTCATGCAAGACAGGCACCTTTGGTCAGTCTCGTGTTTGGGGCCCTTTACCCGATCGTTGCCCACATATCGGAGAGCTGGCTGTCATAAGTCGGCCCCGTTCAAAGTTCTCGAAATTGAGGACTAGCATGGATCGACGTGTCGAAGAGTTACTTAAGTCCCTAGAGATGTTAAGAACGAGAAAATGTTATGATAATACGCATCTTTCTAATATTAGTGTACAAATAACGATTAATGAGTTAGCCGGGCGACATCCATTTGGGTTAGCTAGGTAGGGATAACTACTTACAACGTGGTTTAACCCAGAATTCGGAATAAATGATTTAGGAAATCTCAGTTTTTCGGTGATGTTACCAGATTCCCGTGCGTTTCCGGGACGATGCCCCTTTTGAGAATTAAAGTACATAAGCTCTGACAGACTCAAACTTTTGTTCCACCGTAGGCTCTTGTAGCTTTTTTATGTTTCCACGAATTTCAAAATTTAGTAACCCCAGTGAGCCACGTACGACTGACTTGGGCTAATCAAGCTACATTCAACCAAGGTGGCCCGCCTCCATCGGGTGGTTGGCCTATCTGTCCGGAGTGCATGCCTTAAAATACAGTGAGTGACTGATCTGATAAAGCGTTGGCTGCAATTCTAAAAAGCATTTTCGATTAGGAAGGATTACGTAGGTGGGGTTGTAATACTGATTATTCCTCGACATTTGCCAGGAGGTCGGCTTCTGAATTCACTCCTTTTCGAATTTCTGTAGAAATCATACTGGGTGAAAAAATGACTACATGAGTAACATGCATTTTTCACACTGATTTTCGATGGTCTTGTAAATTGAAGTAAATTTCACAAAAAACGTTAACAAAATACGTTTTCTTTTGTTCATGCGATAGAGAAACAGATCAACTTTATATTTTATTTTCGAAGAAAGGGTACGATTTGTTTTTAAAAAAGGTTTCTAATTGGAAGATTTGTTAAGACCGTGTAGTGTTCACCCATACAGCATCGTACTTGTCCGTTTACCCTTGCTCCTCATGAAATTTAAAACGTAGTCTTGATCCATTGCAAAATTTTATTGACTTAATATGACATTTTTTAAAGGCGTAGAATAATATTTGAATTTCCTTACGTGAAACACATGCAGCTTGTAGAAGTTGGCGCTAATGCAACGGCTGATCAGGCTCCAAATTATTCGGGAATTAGAAACCTTTCTCAATCTAATTTAAATTCTTTCTTTGAATATGAAATATGAGGACGACGTAATTCTCTATCAAACGAGTGGAAAGAAGCATATTTTTGATCACGCCTTTTATAAAATATATTTGAATTTACAAGACCATCAAAAATCAGTGTGAAAAATGCATTTTACTTATATAGTCATTTTTTACCGAATATGGTTTCTACGGGAGATTAAAAGGAGGTGCATTCTAAAGCCGACATCCCACCAAATCCGAAAAACTATAAGAAAATGCCGCGGGATAATCTGTTTTACAACCTTACCTAAGTAATTCTTACTAATCAAAAACGCCTTTCAGAATTTTGGCCAACATTTCATGAGATCGGTCACTCACTGTACCTTTAAGAGCTAAAGCTGCTATTTTCATCCACCATCTCCAAGCGCCGGTCGACGTACAGTTCACCCCCGCTTAGTCCTTCTTGTCCGAACCTTGTGAGTTCTGCAGTCAAACCGATTAGCGTGAGCTGGAAACGCGCGTGGTGTAAGGAAATCGGCGGACTAAACTCGAAGTGTACGGAATGTCCCGTTGTTAGTCCAAGATGTAAGCTATCGTCTCCGCGACATTTATGCGGAACATTAATCATATCCAGTGGGAATTCGCAATATGGTCCGCTCTTTCAGACATTTCACCTGAATAGACGATAGGCGAGTATACAGTGGGTGTGCAAACTCATGAAATGTTAACCGACATTTTGAAGTGCGTTCTCGAATCAAAAAGATTACATAAAAAGTATTTGTAATATTAACCATCGTGCAACTTGATCACATAATACTTCATTAACTTCAGGATGCAGACTTTTACAGAACTACATTTTGGGCCGCCTAAGAAAAAAACACTCAGCAAAAATACTTCTCAAGTAGCACAAAATTTTCCCATTGACTTTAGATGCCTAAAATTAAGTATATCTCATAGAAAACATAGATGAAAATATCCATTTTTTACTAATTTGGTAGGAAATTACGTCTTTTTTGAATCTGATACCCAAAGGAAGGGTAGAATTCGATTTTAAAAAGTTTCTTGTTATGAGTCTTTTAGGCTCGCGAAATGTCCATTCACAAAACACCGTGTCTCTGCATTTACTAACGTTGCCTGTAAAGCTTGCAATCTGCATAAATCCATTGATAAATTTGATGAACTTCTATATGGTCTTCTCTTAATACCGTAGAGAATTTAATGGTTTTCCGTACCTGGAACATATAAATCTTGTAGTTTTGACCGACTGCAAGTGTGACGGCATGTCGGTTTCGAAATTATTTTGGATTTAGAAAAGTTTTTAAAAACCAAATTACATCTTTTCTTTAAGTATGAAATTTAAAGAAGACGTCATTTTTTACCAAATGAGTAAGAGAATTAATATTTTCATGCATTTGTTTCCATGACATATAGTTGAATTTATAAGGGCATCCAAAATCAAGGCGAAAAAAGGCATTGCTGAAGTAGTCATTTTTATCGAGTGGAATTTTCGCAGACGGCCAAAAATAAGGTCGTTCAAAATCCAGCATTCTGGAGTGGCCGAATTATCATGAAATTATACTTCATGCTGATTAAAATTACAACTCATCTTTAAGTGATTTTTTAGTCGAAAACGTCTACTGTAATCTATGGCCAAGTTAACGGATACCTACCTTGTTTTCATATATGTATGTAGTTCCGAAAACAAGTTCTTGCCTTGTTTTTCTTTTTGGAGGAGTTTTGGCTAAATTTTTCATCGGCAATGCATTGTTTCCAAAAGGTGGTTCACTTTCTAGGGGGTCATTTTGAGGCCAGGTCGGTAGGACATGAATAATTAGGCACTGTTTTCCATCTTTATCATGTCGCGCCGGCCAAAACCTCGACCAAAACTAACCAGACTTCAGTAATGTACTTGTCTGATTACGCAATTCTGACCCAAAGTTGATTTAAATGCAGTAGTGACAACCATTTTGGGGACTGGGTATTTTGCCGGTCATGATAGACCGCGGACAACTTCAGAAGACGATGGACAGGGGAATTTACTGGTTTTTAAAAGAGTGTGTTCGCAGGCGACCGAAAAACCCTTAGCAAGCCCAACATGTGCGCTTGTATTACAGAGAGGCCGCCTTGGATGTTTAAAGTCGCGCTACTGAACTAATAAGAAGGATCAGCCACTTGGAAACCGCACTATTAGGACAAAAAACGGGCGTTCACTGCGAGAGGTGGTGGACAGAAGGCAGTCATTGTTTCCAACATACCAGGGGATACTGTTCACGGTAGTAATTTTGTTGTTGTGAGTGGCGAATTAAATTAACCAAAAAGGAAGTGCGTACTTCAAAATCAGCTACCCGGTCGGGAAACAAGGCCCGTGAACGGTAGTCTTGGGCACTTGTTATTCCCTCCTAGTCACCTAGAATGTTTCGCGCCCACTGTGTTCAGAACACTCATCATGTTTGATGATTCTTTGCTAGAGTTTCCCAGAACTTTGACTGATTCCCAACGTTCGATCGGAACTTCCAGGACTGTTCTCTTTGTCAACAGATGACTGCAACAGACCGCCCGTGAAATATTAGTCTTGGAAGACACTCTTTTGATTTACCCACGCTATCGTGATCGGGACTACCCCAAAAAAGGGTAAACCTAGGTTTTCGAGTTGTTCTCGGGAACTGAGAAGCCTGGATTCCTCTATGTCCTTTCAGGGTCGTTCAAAGACAACTTCAATGGGATTGGTTAAGTAGCTCAAAATTTCTGCATTTTAGCGGAAAATGGATTGTGTCTCGTCTGTTTATTATTTAGATGGAAGCCGCAACTGATCTAGAAAGCGGATAACAGTTTACTGTAGGTCTGTTTGACATGTATTTCCAGACAATGATCGTGTCATCAACTGTGATGATTCCAGTTATTATGCTACTCAAGCAGGCAAATATTTTCCGTCCCGTTAAGGCGACATGAAAGTTCACCCTCCGCAAACGTGTTTTACGGTGTGGACGCAGCGTGAGGGGCACTTGCGTTGCATCTTCTGCACTCTTCCCTCCCCGGTTCATCTTGCCCCTATGATAGGACAATTTCAAGACTACCAGACATGGGCTTGGGGGGCAGTGGCTGAATAATCTGGGCAGTCCGTCTACGCGTGCCACACACATCAGCTGTGAGGTCTGCCGAAATTTCGCGTGTGTGGTAGTACCATAAGTGCTACATTAATAAGGAGGCACTGCAGTCGGCTTCTAAGTCCCCCAGTCACCAGAAAATACCTCATGGTGACCGAGTTATCCACTCAGTTATTAGCCTTACATGCCCCCACTTTGAACGTGTCATAGTAGACTCAAGCACGTCACATGTACTGACCTGTCATCTGTTCCGCTATCCCTTCTATTTCCCGTGCAACAGTCGACTGTCCAAGCCCGTCAACAATATGGTGATGGACTTAGGCGAGGTGACTGACACTGCGTGAAGGCCTAAGGCGCGTCAACACACGCATTCACGACAGCAGTTAGGGAGGGACTCAGCACCTGCCGATATACTCACGTCCTGGCGCATCTGCAGGGCATCTTGGTGGAATCTCCGCACAAACAGACGTAGACGCACAACCCTTATGAATAATTTAATACTATAACAAAGTAGCAGACAAGTGCTGTAACATAAGCAGAGCCAGTTTATGAAGCAGGTCAGTCCCCAACTACCTACCAACTCCGGAGGAACATGCACCTCCCCGATCGACATCTCGATGTACTCCCTCTCCTCCGGCGTGATTTTGGGATGAGTGGCAGGCTTCTCGTATGTCGTGCGCCACCAGAAGGACAGCCAAATCAGTCCAACGACGCCTGCAGGCAAATCAAAACACAGTATGCAGATTAAAAAGAAAAAGATTAAATAATTTCCGTACTTATTTTGCTTGCGTCATAAGAATTCTAATCAAGCGTGCTAATAAGTAGGGAAAGGTACCACTTAAGGGGCTTACTGGCAAGCCCGCTTGCACATAAAAGCCATTTTAACAGGACAGAGAACCCACTCAACCAGTGCTTGTCGGAAAGTAAACAGATGAAATGATGGCACGCGGATTCCAACGATGCCACCGTATATCCTGCAGAAGAGTTGACCCAAAGATGATGACGTGCATGTAAATTATTTTATATTAACAGTAGACTTTCGGAGCATCCACCTTGACCTCCTATCATCCATCCCGGCGTGATATCATGACAGAGTCAAGAGGATCGGTGGCCGAATCGGACACAAAGTTAAACAGCCCATCTACACATGCAACACACCCCCGGTACGCACACAATGGACCACGTTTTCACAAGACAGGAGAGGGGAGGCGGGTCTGCTCTCAACTGAGTCGTAGTCACATTAAGAAGGAGTCATCGCAGCCTGACTCCCAGGCCACCATTCGGCTACTCCAAACAAACACATATCATGCTCGCATGGTTGGGGAACCTCGACTTCCTCTGTACGGAGAAAGCAATATGGTCGCATCCGCTTAGCATTTTGTTCCGAAATCACAAAGGTTTGACGAAACAGGGCGCCATGTGGTTCCGGCGTCTCAAGTTCCTGACCGCTGAGTCAGACACCCCGGTCCCTCCGTCAGCACATTTGCTGGATAAACTCAAAGGGGTTAGCCTCCATCCAAATGAGGTCATGGTAAATTTTGATGTTACGTCCCTTTTTAACTGCTATTCCCTATGATCTGGCGATCAAGCTGCATCTACAAAGCAAAGATGATGAAACGAAGAATAGTTTTGAAAACGCCCAAGTCCTTCAGCTCCTTAAATCCTGTCTTAGGACGAACTTCACGTTCGACGGGGCAATCTACGAACAGGTGAAAGGCCCAACAATCGGTTCGCAGATTTCGGGACTCATCGCTGAGGCAGTGCTGCAATGGTTGGAGTCGCTGGTCTCCCAACACCACAGACCGAAGTTCTGGGCAAGGTATGTGGACGATACCTTCGTCGTTATCGACCGGGATCAGTTGCTGTCATTCGAGGAACGTCTCAATGCGGTCTTTTCGGACATACAAGCTACGATGGAGGAGGAAGAGAACAACCAGCTGGCCTTCCTAGATGTCCTCGTATGCCTTCAAGATTGTGGCGGCCTGAAGACCAAAGTGTTCAGGAAAGCGACAAATATGATGCACTTACTGAACTTCAACAGCAAGCACCCAATCAGCCACAAACGGGTTGTGTAAGAACGCTCTATCGGCATGTCGAAACGCACTGCAGGGAGCCAGAGGACATGATTGCCGAACTACAGTACCTCCGACTGGTCTTAAAAGCTAATGGCTACCCGCGCAACTTCGTTATTCGGTGCGCACGCTAAAGGGAAAGAGGCTTAACCGCACGGACACCAAATTTTGGTGAGCGCTTCCGTATGTCAAGAACGTTTCGGAAGCTGTCGGCCGCCTTCTCGCACCACTTGGGGTTGGAGTTGCACACAGACCGCAGAAAACCATCAGGCGTCAGTTAATGAAGCCGAAAAACCCTTGTCACGGCAAGAAACGTATGAAGTCGTTTATCGGATCTGGTGAAGTTGCGGACAAAGCAACTACGTCGAAGAACGGAAGAAAGCGAATGGCGGAACAGGCTGCAGCGGTGCAGAAGGATGACGCTAACTCTCAAGTTGCGGCTCATTCGACGAGACGGAAATCCTTGCAAAAGGTGACAACCGCGTGAGCCGGGAGCTGCTAGATTCATGGCTTACTGCCCCCCTCCAGTCCGTTAACATGCGCAATGAACTTCCCCTTCCATACTCGGTGCTGAGACTTCGCCTAGGCGGAATAATTAGCCAAGCGGGAAGCGCACAGGTAAACACTGTTCCCAACGCCGGAGTCGGTGGATCAGATGGTCGAGCAATCATCAAACCAACACCCAACACCCATGATGCAATCACAGCAATTAACGACGCGAATGTTAGCCATCACACCAAACGCAACGACCCCTGATGAGGGGGAGGGAGCCGTGAATATTCATAGGTATGCGGTAGCAGGGCAACTGCATCCTTTAAATAGTGCAGCCGCTAGCGCATGAACCGCCCTTATCTTCTTTTGTCTCTAATGATGGGTTCGAGCAGGGATCCGAAACGTCAGGCGAATAAAGCTCTTGTTCCAACGATCGTGTCTACTTCTTCACCATGTGGTTCATACTACTTTTTTCGTATGAATGGTGTTAATTCTGGTTCATGCAAAACTTAACACTTGCAGCCTCCGTGCAGCAATTATAACAGATTAAAAGGACTAAATTAAAAAAAATTAACTCACCATAGAGGTAGAAGGGAAATTGCCAACCAAACTGCTCCGTTAGAATCCCCGACATGAACAGGCTTATGACTGCGCCGGCGTAGGAACCTAAAGTATACAAAAAGCATAACCACTTTATCCTGCAATTAACCGGCTAACAGTGAAGTGGTCCTTGCAAACACAGTTTTAAATGCCCTTTGAGGTGCGATCTGCTTGCTGTTTAAAGTTGCCTGGCAACTGTTCGACTTTACTCGGGGATAATGGCTTCTTTCTAGTGCCTCGCAGGCCGGTATCTCGTCTGTTACAATCTGAGGTCTTTGAAAACACGTTGGTCTGAAGTCAACTTTTGTGATGCTAAGGCAGGACGGAATACGACTTTTCATTTCCGGCCTGCATTTTAGGCCTAAACTCAGGTCGTTCCGGTCTGAGACTGTGTTTGGCTGGATGGCTGGCTGACTGGCAAAGTCAAAAAAGCCGGAAATGTCCATTCTAGTCTTCCTGTTTCTTGTCATCAGACCTTTTGCATACATAATAGCCTTCACCGACATCTAAGTTTGGTAACTAAATGTAAATTTTCTATCAGCAGAAATAACTATATTGAATAAGATCTGAAGGGAATTTTGTAAATCCGAACAATCAACTCATAAAAATCCAAGTACTCAGTCCAACATTTCCGTGAGCCGTATTTTTCCCCAAGCCGTAGTTGAGTTCTGTTAACCGATGTTTCAACCATAGGGTAAGATGTAGATGTGTAGCAGCACCTAATGGACACAATACTGTTGATCTACTAAATTATTTTGCTTTTGTGTAATTACGTTGGCATGGTGTTGCTGTACGTTGTGGTGTGTGTCCTATTGGCGGCCTTTTTTCTTTGTTGCCGTGTTTACCGCTACTGGCCCAATAATGGTGGGCCTTCTTGCTTTTCGGCCTGTCGTCTCCTTCTAACTTTCGCGTCGAATGTTTCAGAGTTAGGGTGTAGGGCTGCGCTCAACGGTTAAGATTAGGGGGTTATGGCTTGGAGTTAGGGGCTAGGGTTACACGTTAGGGCAAAGTTAGTTTTAGGGGTTAGGTCAACTATTTCTCAACCTTTTAAAGTACAACAGCGTATTTCCAATAGCTTTTCTGGCAACGGTACAGAGAAGGACCCCACTTAACTGTCAATAAACTGTGGATCGTGCCATACGTGATTTATGATAAAGGAAGTTTTATGGGTGGGGTAGCACGCTAGACATTAAGCTGACAAAAGAAAAGATTTATGACTGGATTTATGCCGAAAGTCTTATCCTACGCTATTATCTGACCAACTGCGGATTTTGAATTTTTTTACATTTATTTGATTTTCTATGGAGCTGAGGCCAGAATATGTATCCAGCCATCTGCTAAGCAAGAAGTCTTCATCTTGAAATCTGGTAGTATTATGGAGACCACGATAAGTAGAAGTTCGACCTACTGTACGTGGGCTTACTCATAAAATATCAACAGAAATTCCAAAATGTGTTTTCGTTTCGAAAAGATTAATTAAGTAGGGCTGTAAAACTAATCATCATGCAGCATAGCTGTCTAATGCTCCAGTTACCTCAGGGTGTCGGCTTTTGACTGGACTTATTTCCGACTGCATGCAAGAACTATATTCATCCAAAAACAACTACTTAATTAGCATGCAATTTTCTTATTGATTTTCGATGCTCTTGAAAAGTCAACTATATTTCATAGAAAACAGGCATAAAAATATTCATTTTTTACTTATTCACGTCTTGCAAGAAGATTAAAATTCGTTTTAAAAAAAATTTCTAAATTCCGAATAATTGTGAACCTTTACTTGCCGTTACATTTGTATCCCGGGTTACCAATCTACAAGCCGTATAATTTCCGCGTGCAGAAAATCATACAATTCTTTACGGTTTTATGGGGAGACCATAGGGGGTTCCTACAGTTTAGCAGTGGATTTAGCGATATTGTTAACCTTACGGTATTAAAAAATCTCCCAATCAGAAACGTATTTGAAACTGACTTTTACCCTTTTTTCGAGTATAAAAGTTGACGATGACGTGATTTTCTATCGAATAAATAAATGAATGAATATTTTTATGCCATGAAATATAATAGAAGTTTCAAAGGCATCGAAAATCAATGAGAACATTGTATGCTACTTAACTAGTTGTTTTTGCCGAATATTGTTCTTGCATATAGTCGGAAATAAGTTCACTCGAAAGTTGACACCCTGAGGCAACTGAATTATTATAGAATTATGCTGCACGATGATTAGCTTTACAACCCTACCTAATTAATCTTTTCGAAACGAGAACGCATCTCGAAATTTCGGTCGACATTTTTTGAGGTAGCTTACCTACTGCATGTGTGTCGTTCATTCGACTCACTTTAAAAGGATACATGTGCTGTCCCAAAAATTAAGCCGCGCATTAAGTTTAAACAACATCGAAGGTGGTCGCATGACGGGAGGAATAATGCACACCAACCGTTCTTAACTGACAGAACCATCTTTTGTGTTTTGAAGTGTGAAGCTTATCAGTCAGCCAAATCGCCGGAGATGCCAAACAGGGGGTAAATTCAAAAAAGGAGGACTTCGTTTGCTAAAAAATCATAAACGCAGGTAAACGCGTCTTTTGGGTGACGTTTGATCCTAAGAAATGTCTTAAAGCGGAATAAATTTTAAGTGCGTGAAATGGATTAAATTCAAGAAAACACGTAAAGGATCAAACGAGCCTGATCTTATGTCCACCACGTTAGAAATGTTGATCGTTGGGCAAACGGTCATTAATTATTTGCGGTAACGTGTATAAAGGGCGTGAATACACCAAAGCGAACGCGAACGTTCTGAAAAATAGATATTTTTCCACTTGATTTACGCAAGGTGAAGATTTACTGATCGTTATCATGTTCTGGGTGAAATTAAAGGCTTTTTCACATTCATACCTCAGTTCGCTGCAAGGCCTTTCACTAGAGGAAACGTGTACGCAAGATGCCAATTCCCCTCGGATCGTATATCCTTCGCGTGAAGGGCATCGCCCCTTCTTACATCACGCTGTTAGGTATCACAATCTCCTCTGAACTTGTAGACATGCCCTAGTAATTGAAGTTTTTTTAATTTCCTCAAAAATTAATCACTAACATAGAGTAAATCAGTCTATTCTAGAATTATAGGCTTAGGCGGAATTTCGATATGAATATTTGGACCGGCGTCTATCAGCCATTGAGGAATAACCGCATAATATTCATGAACTGCCAACAACAGTAGCTAGAAAGCTTTCAGATTATACCTGTGCTCTCAAGTATGGCATATCATACTAGCCCAGTTTATGTAATACTAATCTCTGCAAACTGCCGATGCGATAAGTCCTCAAGGTTGTTCGGTTGCTTCTAATTTAACTAGCTCACTAATGCCATGGTTAAACAGTGAGTCACCGATGTCATTGGATGCTAACTGAAATTTTGATGTGCGTTCTCGATAAGGAAGGAATATTTAAGTGGAATTATGATACTGCTTGTCTTGCGGCATGATCCCATAAAATGTCAAGCAGGATGAGATGTTAGCTTTTGAATGCATTTCTTTACGACAACCTAAAAAACCGCACTTGGCAAAAAAATGAGAAATTGATTAATATGGGTTTTTCTATTGATTTAAAATATTCCTATGCACTAAAAATAATTTGCTGATAAAACACACAAAAATAATAATTGTCGTACTCGCTTGATAAACCACCCCATCTTCTTCATATTTTATGTTTGAAGGAAAGATATCTTCAACTGCCAAATTAATTTTTGCTTAAATTTCCGTTGCATTCACGTTTAGAGCTCTCAGTATACAAGGCGTATACTTTCCGCATTAGGGAGAATGCATATTTCTTTAAACCACTAGGAAGATATCATGCGAATCTCATATAACTGTCTGCGCAACAGTCATGAATTTATAAGGGCATCGAAAATCAATTGCAGAAGTGCATACTGTTTTGACAGTCATTTTTCATCGAATGCGCTTTTTATAGGCAACCAGAAACGTGTAGCCAAAAGTCAGCATCCTGATGTTTCTAAAGTAATACGCGCTTTTTCCGCAGGTTGGTCAGGAGTATAAACCCACTGAAATAATCCTTTCTAATCAAAAACGCATTTCAGAATTTCAGTTAGCGTCTTATGAATAAAACTAGGAACAGTTACCAAACAGGTTGCCTTTGAATGACTAAAGGGGATCGGAAAAAGCTCGCAGTGAATCCTCGATAGTCTCCACGTAGACCAAACAAGTAAACCTACGGGTTATGAGATACCTCACCCTTCGGGCGCCATTGGGAGTACCTCCGCATTAACAATAATGAGAAGACGCATGAGTGTTCAGTCTTACATTGCGTAAAACATGAATGTAATTTTCGGACTTACCGCAGAATGCAATCGTTGCCAGGCGGGAACGCTCGATCGGCGGTGCCCAGTATCGCCATATGCCGTGACAGGCAGGATAGGAGACACCCTGTCAGTCAAAACACAAATGAGGTATAGGCGGAATAAGATTACCGACAAAGACAATGGAGACTGGAGTAGCCATTTCTGGCTTACTAGTCGTCGTCAGCCAGCCATGCCCAATCCAGAAGTGCGGATCACATTAGGTTCCATCCCGCGACCGGATGGTTAGAATTTCGAAGCTTCTGGTTGGGCTCCAGAGAGAGCCTCAAGGCACAGCGAAATAAGTTAGTTCATTAACACGATCGGTGAGCGCCCTCAACCACAAATAGATATGCCAGCAGAATGACAAGGAAGTTGACGGTTTATTTTAATCGGTTGAATACAAATGCTGTCCGGCCCGGTCGAAGCGCGGTCGAATTCGACGGTTTTGTGGGTCGATCGCTTACGATGAATACTCGCAGAGGCCACCACGCGCTCACAATTTCTATTGCCTGCCTTTCTTCGGCCGAGGCAGAAACAGGGCCCTTATCGATGCAGCTGTGAAGGCAGATCATTTAAGCACATGATCAAAAAACACGTCGAAATATGTGTAGGTTCCTGATGAGGCTAACTACCCCCTTAGCTGGTTAAGAGAATCATATACAAAACTGCACTTTCCCAGAATTTTCTGGGAATGAATCATTCTTATGTGGTGCACACGAGCCCAGTGGTTTTTTACCGCTCCCTGTTGGCTGACGAATGTGTCAATAGGATTATGCAACGTCAAATAACCTAAAAGTTCTGCTGTGGTGGTTTAAAAGGTCACACTCTAGGGGCATGAACCACTGCAACAGGTCAGTTATTTAGTAAATGGACCGTCCGCAACACCACCCTCATCCTCTGCAATAGAAGCATGCGTTTACTGCCGAACCCCTCTGTTTACTGTTTTGCTGGAATTCTCAATATCTGAGCCAATAATACTAGAACTTTCGCAGCTACAGATGCCGGTTACGGGCTGGAGGTCGTAAAATTTTTGTGACCGCCTGTCCACGTAAAAGTGGCTCTAGGTTTAGCGAAGTTGCAGGCGCTCTTAACACAACGAAGAGCGATTAATTAGCCTAATTGGTTCAAACCCGTTAATGAAAATTCAGATTAATCAGTGTCAACTTGTTTGGCGGTTCCTAATTTCCTTGAAATTTAGATGTGCCCTTGTTCTTGTGGGTGAAATAATTGTCAGAAGGTTTTGAAACACTGAGCGACGTTTGTTAATAATTTTTATGAATAGGAAAGACGTTAAGACTTCAGAAACTTGGCAGTGATAGAGCCAAGTTCGAGAAGAAAGAAGGTAGGTCCTTAAACTAAGATAGGTCTAGTTTTATGAATTTTGCGTGGAACATGGACATGTTTCTGTAGGAATGAAGTCAGAATACAATCAATGGCCTTAGAGATTTCATCAAAAATAATGAAATCCTAATCTTGATTCTTCGATTAACAGAAAACCAAGGTGAGGTTGTAAGTGACCAACGCGAAATATAATCCGATATTAATTTGCACAGAGTAGCACACTGGCACTTTACGGAACATCTTTATATTCATCGTCCTAAAGTGCGCATGACGGTTCCTCTTCATACACACACATATATATATATATATAGATATTCACTCAGGAATGGGCGCACACCGATCCATTGACTTTCCGAAACGAACAAGCTTCGTATGGGCGATAGGGGTCACGAACAGGCAACCACCTACCAGGCCGAAGTCGGCCAAGCTATGATAGCAGAGCGGATACGACAGTGTCTGGGGGGTAGATTGATACAGCACTGTTTCGGGCTTGTTTGCCTTCATGCAGCCAACCATAACCCTGACCATCACCTGGGACCGGAAACACAAACATGCGCACACACGCACCTGGCACAGCTGGTCCACCACTGGGGTCTACCAGATGGGTCATAAGCACTTCATCGAACCGAAGTTCATCAGTGCCTCATCACCTGTCATTCTCTGTCAGGGTTATGGTTGGCTGAATGAAGGCAAACAAGCCCGAAACGGTGCTGTATCAATCTACCCTCCAGACACTGTCGTATCCGCTCTGCTATCATAGCTTGGCCGACTTCGGCCTGGTAGGTGGTTGCCTGTTCGTGACCCCTATCGCCCATACGAAGCTTGTTTGTTTCAGGAAGCCAATGGATCGGTGTGCGCCCATTCCTGAGTGAATAAATACCCGATCTGCAGCGACAGAGAATGGCAGGTGGCGAAGCACTGATGAACTTCGGTTCGATGAAGTGCTTATGACCCATCTGGTAGACCCCAGTGGTGAACCAGCTGCGCCAGTTGCGTCTGTGCGCATGTTTGTGTTTCCGGTCCCAGCTGGTGGTCAGGGTTTTGGTTGGCTGAATGAGGGCAAATAAGCCCGAAACAGTGCTGTATCAATCTACCCCCCAGACTCTGTCGTAGCCGCTCTGATATATATATATATAAATAGAATGCTGTTTCTGCCTTCATCCTGCCAATTCGGCACTTGGTGAGAAAAGTTCACCTTCAGGGTGTATTGTCTGACAAACTCTGATGTTTCTGTAAGCCCCCAAATTACGAGAAACAAACAGTAATGGAAGCCTTTTGTGTTCGAGGTCCCTATCTAACCCACACCTCCTGAGACCTAACTTCAAGGATCCGCGATGGCAAGACGCCTCTGACAGCAGATGCCTCTGATAACAACAGATGGACATGTATTCGTCTGGGGCCAGTCGCGAATTTCACAGAGCCAAAAGGATTGATCGTGGATTCCACCGACCCTAGAGCCCTGAATTTATACGTCTAAATTATCAGGGAATAGGGCTGGGGAGCCGATGAGACGCAGATTGGCGTGAGTTATAGCCAAGAGTCTAGCTAGTCTCGGAAGCTGAAATTGGACATTTTAACTAACCTTCACAAGCATGGTTTAAATTAGTGTATGAACGTCTGCAGTCACCGCCTCTAGTTGAAAATGGAGGGATTCTCTTAGTATTTTAAATATATGAATACGATATAAGACAAGAGGTCACGTGGTGAAGGAAGCAAGATGTTAAACAACTTAAGTCAGGAAGTCGGTCCATTCAACTGTGATGACCGTAGGTTTTGGCTCAGAGGCCATAGACGTAGTGCGGGAATTGTGTTCATCAGTATGGCCTGATTACTAGATCAGTCCGGGCATCCGATTAATTAGAGACGATCAGTAGCTGCAGATAACCTAACCACATATGACAGTTCGATCATCGCAACCGACGATGTCCGCTGTGTGTCCACAGCAGGGCAAAGCAGGCAGGGTGACATGAGCGCGAATTAGTTTACAGTGAGTGCGGACTTGCACTGCGTCTACCGCATTCACTCCTCCTCGTTCCCCACCTGGACCGGGTGTCAAGACATAGTGAAGACCGGAGGCGGGCGAGGATACGGGTGCATGGCGTGGCCGAACCCGCACCTTGGCGCTCAAACCCATACTACTTGGTCCACACAAGAACTGACTAATGTTTTGACCAACGACGATAATTCCACAACGGGTCAGAAGAAAGAGGGTGACTGACCAGCCATGATCACGATCTGTATACCCAGCGGGAGTGCGAGCGCATCTACCGGCAGAGAACCAGGTGCCACAGAACCATCAGCTCACACCACATCGCGAGGACAATGGCTTGCTGACAATGGCATAGCAGATGCTAGCATAAGCAGTCGCACTCGTGTACTAGAAACCAGAGACAGCTGGAAAAATCCGAACGAACGCAATGATTTTGAATATTGGGGTGCATCCGACTTGACAGTCTTGTCGTCATCGTGAGAGGCACATTCATCAATCAGACACTCCTCTTTACATTATTAGCCCTCACTGTGCGACTGCTTGCGAGGATCTCAATTGAACCCAAAGGCCCAACAGGACAAGCATGTCCCATAACCTGATCAGTGAACACAATTCCACCATAGCGAATATTTTCGATCGTAACCGGCAGGACAATGGGTCCGTGCTTCAATGGTGGAGCGTAAAACTTAACGTTCAGTTGCCAGTAGATCTGGATTCAGACCCCAGGTCGAGTATGAGTGACTGGCGGCGGCTGCTAAGCCAGAAATAGCCAGCCCATTTTCCCCTGTCCATTTCAATGCTCCTCGTGCACGGACAGACAGAACAAGAAACTGGGTTGGACTCTTCTGGCTTAATATTCACCGTCAGTCATTCATTTCCAAACGTACGTTTAGGGGTCGTAGGTTCTTGGTCGCCGGGCGTTAAATAATCCATCATCCCACCACTGAGCCTGCGATCGGGTATATTAACTACGGAAGATGGCACACGACGGTTAATAAGCCAGAAATGACCACACCGTGGCGAAAGGCCAAAAGTGAAATTTTTAGGATTGAACAGGCTAAACAAACCTCTACAAGACCCTGTACGATTCGCAGGAATATGACGGCTCCGTAATGCATTCTGCAGAAGGCTGGTACAAAAAGATTCACTAGAGCACTGCCACCGACGGCGATACCGAAGAGCCGGTTGGCCGGGAACTTTGATGCAATCACTCCGCCGGGGATTTGAGTTATCATGTAGCCGTAGAAGAAGGAACTGTCCACCATACCACGTTGCTTCGAGGTCCAGTAGAAGTCCGGCTTCTGCAATCAAAACAAGTAAGCTGATAAGTCCTAAGCTGGTTTAGGACTGGATAGAGGGAAGTCTCGTCCCCGAAATTCGAAATATTATGGGAGGTAAGTTGAGGCAGACTGTCTTTCAGAATGTAAATCCGCCGAAATAGCATCTACTCAAGTTGCCCAGTTTCAGTTTACCTGCAACTCGCAGGTCATAAGCGGTTATTTCTTAGTGTGCTGCCAGGCTGAAAGATTATCCTAATGCCAAACTGTGCTGTCTTTTAACGAACTTCCCAGCTAACGGTAGTAAGCCAAAACCTTTGGCAGCCTATATACTTATCTCCTCGTTTTAACTGCCGTTTCTCGTTTAGTCAGGCTTTCCGTGAAAACCCACAAAAAGGGTTGTTTATTGTTATCGTCCAATTAAAGGTTACTCATCGTCCTCGGAATGTCGCAGAGAAGATAAACACTTAAAATTTATAGTTGATTTTTTGGCAAGGACAGGTTGTGCAAGTCCACTTTTTTGTTAATTAATCCATAGGTGCAGGAAGTCCTCCTTTGCGTGTTTTCAACGCTTTGATAAAACCACATGCACTGAGTTGTTTCAGTGTGACTTTTTCAGTGATACATTATTTGGCATGATTCTCGCTCCCCCTCCCCGTAATCCGTTTTTCTTACCATTATATCTTCTTTACCCCATTATACTTGCCTTGCCTTTCGTTGTCGATTCCGTACGCTGTGACTTACTTATTCTCCACGTCGGTACTCACCATACAATGCGTGCTGTAAGGATCGCCGGTTGCATTTTGGTTTGCTTTACTCCATTTAAAACACAAACGCTCTGTTTCTCCAATACCTCTGAACGGTTTCCTACTTGAACGCTCAGACCTTGTTTATTTTTTAAAGACTACCTGTACATATTCCCTTTCGTAAACAGTAATAGGACGTTTGCATTTAGTTTAGCAATGAGGTTACACAACCTACCGTTGCCGAGTTTCTTGATTTGGAACTCCTTGTGGTTAGCAGCATAGGGTTTCAATCAAAGATCGATGACCAATCGGTCTTCATTAGGACTTCCTTTCCACTAGAGCTTAGGTTTAACTAAAGACCATAAACTGAAAAACTGTCATTTATTTGGATATTATTATAGCAATACCAGCCACTCAAAAATCGCAAACAACGCTACCCATGAAATGTAATGACTGAAAGCCAGACGATCATTCTGAGCATGAGAGACGTTTCGATTTTCTACTTATCAATCTAACACATTTGTAACTATCATTTTCGCACACAGATAGTGTTTCCAAACAAATTCAACCGGAAAACCTTCCCCAATTTGATGAAAATCCAGCGATTTCTCTTGCTATATTTGTATTTCGGTGCGTTATGTTCTAAACGGAAGAGATTATCTGAGTAATCCCCATCATCTTAAAAACTGAGGTTTTGATCCTCTTAAAACAGTTAAAGCAGGAGAAGTTAGAGCACGATATTTTTAGAAAACCGGATGTATTTTCTCTAAAATCATTCGAATCTGTAAATTCCTGTAATTTTGTGCCCTAAAAAGAAACAATAACACTTACAGGCGACTGTTTGTTTCACCATAATTTTATTTGCATGCGTGCGCAAAAAATGTCGTTAGAAACCCGCTCGAAAGCCCGTTAAAAAGCAGACATTTTAAAAGATGGTTATTTTGTAAGTTACCTTTGTGCGGTAGTTTTTGTTGATATGTAATTTAGAAAGGGAAAGGGCGCAACATTACCAGCCTAAAGAATATTTAGGTATTTATATGGGTACTCAAATGTGAGTACATGGAGTCTTTATTATGAGAGTTTTATGATTGTGAGGTGCCTATTCGAATGCCATCGTGTTTACCTGTTTATAAATGCTCCTCATTAAGTATGCAACATAATCGGCACACATTACAAAAACATATGAGCCGTATATGCTACCCTTTTAATTACATGAGGAACTCATTATTTCCTTTACATGAATGGTAAAAAATTCGTAGAATGAAAATCTTAAATGCAAAAACAAATGCTGACCTGGCTCAAAAGTATGTGGGAATCGAAAAACTGCCTTAAAATCCTTGAGAATACAACTTGAAGAAGTTTGTTTTTAATGTATATTTAAATTTGTAAATTTGTAAAATGCATGAATGCACACTGAGTAGTCATTTTACAGTATGCGATTTTCTTGGGCGACCGGAAATATGTAGAATCAAAGGCTAACGTCCTGGAATGTCCGAAATAGCAGGGGATCATGCCGCATTATAGTTGGGATTACAACCTCACTGATGTAATCTTTCCTACTCAAAAACGCGTTTTCGAATCTCCGTTAGCACTGTATGGAACCGGTCCCTTCATAAATTTTTGCGATTTTGGTATTTCCGCTTTCCTAAAAAAATTTATATTTCCAGCCAATTCAATTTTAGTTTCGACACTTCTTATGTGTCTGCCTGGAGATCTTTTATTATTAACCGTGAGTTTTGCTGGATGCGGCTGAGCCGCCTTCCGACAACTTAAACATTTTCGTTATTTCACGCGCACTTCGGGGATTAGGCCACCTACTGTTGGCCTCCGGAGTACCAACAATACGGGTGACTTTAGGTTATTATCGCATCATGTGAACTTCCCATTCGTGGGTCACGAGGAATAAGGATTCCTATTACACGTGCCCCGTGATAACTTTCAGGAGAAATTGGGGTAAGGGTTAATATTAAGGTGAGGAGAATCGGAATTGGGTATGGGGCTGAAGTTAGATTATGGAAAAAGGTATCCTGTCTGGAATTTAGCGCAAGGCCACTTATGATACTCGCGTTCGACTTTCCCACCAATTAACCATCCCATTTTCATATTTCGGCCGTACTTACTGTCTAATCATTTCTAGTATCTTCACGCTGTGTGATCCGTAAACAGAAGAAAAGCAGGACAATAGTTCGAACGTTTATCCCCGTGTTCTGCTCCTAAACCGGTGGTCCGAAGTCTTGTTAATCCACGAGTTCTTTCACCTACCACCGCATGAGAGAAGTTCAGCACACTTCATCTCCCACTCCTCTCCCCCACTTTCCAGTGCTGAGACCTGTCGCAATGCCTGGCATAGCATAAGAGACTCTGTCCGTGTTAGTGTCTTGCACCCACATACAGCAGTAAGCTGGGACACATGGAGACTGACCACAGTCCACTTTTTGTCTCAGCGCAACTGGTAGACTTTTCTGGGGGAGGTGTAGGGGCGAGGAGGTGCGGACGAAGCTATGAGCCAATCTTGCCCTCAAATGTACCAGGCACATGAACTGGGGGAGGAATTAATTGGCGCGCTGCCTGACCTGAGTCTGAGGTCTGTCACTGCACTGTGCGGAGTCCAATTTTGCCCATGGCAATATCGAAGTTTGCTTTTTGCGACTCAGCCGATTCCGGGGTTAGACCCCAACCGTAGGCTACCTTTTGCGGCGTGTGGGCTGATCATTTTTTCCGACAAGTGGGACAAAGGAGAAAGGAGATAGGCTTGCGGGATTTCGTCTTACGACTCCATGTAATCTCTGGTTTGCGCACATAATCGTGGTTCTCAAAACTCACTTCCATGTTTTTAGAAAATCTAGTTTTATATTTAAAATATGTGCCCTCCTGAAGGTAAGATATAGTTATGTAGCCGCACCTATTGGACGCAATACTGTTGGGGTCATTGTTAGAGGTTAGAGTTAGGGGTTAGGGTGAGGAGTTAGAAACTATTTCTCAACCACTCAAAGTACAACCGCACATCCCCAACAGCCTTTCTTTTGCATAAACTTTCTTGACCACGTCGTCTTTGCGTTCCCTGGCTCCACCTGTAAAAACCCCTTCTAACACCGGTCTCTTATTACATGCGGCTGAGGTTTGTTTACCTTATGGGCAGCTGCATAACCATATCTGATCGTCCTGCTTTCGGAGAGCTTCTATGTTAGTCTCTATCGGCCTAAAGCGAGCTTATCAGGTAGGGTATGCTTTTAGACACTTTTTTTCAAACACATTCCCTCTATTAACAGCGAATTGTGTCGAGAAACTTGTTTTCAACGAAGGTACGCAGTTGGTTTCACTATATAATCACCAGCCAAAAGATGGAAACGCTGTTTTGTGGTTACAATTAAGAATGTCACCCATAAAATCCTTCAAAAAAATAACTTCTTGTTAAACTTGTGATCAGCTTGACGTTCTCCTCGAAGTCGAAGTAGGCCGTGACGAAAGCACCGACGCCGGCCACGAAAACACTTTAGAGATTGAATATTCGGCATGAAAGTACCCCCTCGTATTTCATCTGCAGGTCAATAATCGTGGGCGCTTGAGGTCTGAACGCGACTTTTAATGCTGAAGGCCGTCTTCGGACAAAAGTGCGTCATGTTTCATGTGCAGCAGACTTTCAAATTAACTGCGCAGTCAGGGCATATTGGAAGATGGTGGGGACTACGGAGTAGCCACCATTTTTATGTTTCGGAGCTATATATGGCTATGTGGACGACAGACGCACTGAAGCGCCTGATGATCTCTGTTTGGCTCAACGCAACAAATGACCCTCTGCGGTGGCGCTTCCGAAAATCCCAAATCAGTTCGACTGGTCATTTTAATTTTCTCTCCCTTTGTTCTTAACACTCATCGATCACTGATTACTCCCCTAGATGCAACCGCCTGCGAGGGCTCTTGACTGGAACTCAGAAGCAGTCCAGAGTCGCATATATTCTATCCCTCACTAATGACACTTTGGCTAGCGTCACTCCAACACGACCGAATATTCTCCAGGGTGACCGGAAAGGCGTGAGCCTATGGTTCAAGTGATGGAGTGCATGACCCAACGTTCTCATGACCACTTCAACAGGGCACAAATGACAGGCCTTCCAGCACCTGGGATCGGGAAAGTCACTCTGACTTGGGCTTTCCACAGTTTAACAACACGAGAATAATTCCAGTCTTATACCTTTGGCTTTTTATCTTCGTCCGAGAGGTACACCGAGTGACTGATCTCATGAAGTCTTGGTCGAAATTCGCTTTTGATTAAGAAGGGCTGCTCCACTGGGAATGTAACATTAATTATCAACAGCATAATCCTATAATATTTTCGACTAGCTTTGATGTTGGCTTTTTGATGAACTTTCAACCTCCTATAATGACTGCACTCGGTAAAAAAAATACTACCTAATAAGCACGCATCCTTCACATTGATTTTGGTGTCCTTTTAAATCCAAATGATTT